CAGTTTTATTCATCCTGTGCTATTAGTAGAGGGTTTTGAACAGTAAGAATTCCAAGGTAATAACTAACATTTCCTATCCAGTATTTTTACTTAGAAATTGTGCATTTCTCCAGTTTTTCCACAATACTTAAGGGACTGGAATATTTATAAAATTCAATGGAGGCATCAAAAACAGTATTTACTGAACTAGCACATGAATATCCATTTAATGTTAGATATGCCTGCATGAAGAACCAAGAGAATTGATGGTGGATGGCATGATAAACACAGGATTAGAAAAGGATCAGAATTAGGTGTTTTTTGCACCAACCTGAGTACATCTCTTGGAACCAACTCATACTGAAAGTTTCTACAATGTGAGTATAAACTGGCAAATAGACAAGCTTTATAGAGGTGAGCACTTTGTATAAAACAAGCAAAAAGCCAGAATGTTATGGTCCTCACCCGTGAATTAAAAAAACCTGAAATTACTTCCTTAACAGAGGCCAAGGAAGAGTTATAAAAAAATTTAAGTCCAAGCATTGGATGTGTTCTTAAGAATTTTACAAATGAACAACAGTGGGGACGCGATAACTCAGCAGTTAAAGACACTGAACTTATCAGCTAAAAAATGAACTTGGGTTCGAGACCCAAGCACCGCGCAACTGAGTGAGCTCCCGTTACTTTCTCCAGTTCCTGCTCATTAAGGTATTTCCCTGAAAATAAGACAGGGTCTTCTTTTTTCACCCCCAAAATAAGCGCTTGGCCTTATTTTCAGGGAGGCCTTATTATTTTTGAGGTGCAGGAGGCGATGAGCGTGGTCACCTCATGGCTGCTGCTGTGTTGCAATATTTTCAGAGAGGGCTTATTTTGGGGGGAGGGCTTATTTGAGCACATGCACTCAAAAGCACAATTGGGCTTATTATCCAGGAAGGTCTTATTTTCAGGGAAACAGGGCAGCAGTTTGAAAGCATGTGAATGCAAGCAGACAAATAAGACTTTGCTAGGAAGGTAACAGCATTTAATGTGCCTTAGCGTATATTGTAGTCCTGCTGGCCACACAACCATGGAAGTGTCTTCTGACAAACCTGTTTGCCTCAGCTAAAAAACTGAGTTGAACACATCCCCCTATGGTCAGATACAACTTGACAGGGGAAACCTTATCTGTATCTTTTCAACTGAATAAGTAAATTATTTTAATATATTGGTTTTATGTTTCACATTGTTACTTTCCCTTTTTGACTGAAACTAAACAGTATGGATTAAATATCTAATAGATGATTAGAAAATTAAATATTTTCCCAATAAATATTTAAAAAGTAAATATTGCTTCACAAAGAAAGTAATTCAATATCAATTTTTAAAAATACTATAACTCTTTGCAAAGGTTTTTTTTATGAAATTCTTCACCATGAATATGTACATATGATTTGTTTAAAATTTTACAAATTGGTAAACCATCTCTACCAACTCTAAAATATCTACCAGTAAGAAAGACAGAATTAGACAACTAATCTATTTATTGGGAAGTATCAAACTATAATCTTTATTAATTGTGAAGACTCAAAAATATTCATATTATACAATCTATTGTATTTGGGTCCCTATTTTTATTTAAATTTTCTTTTTAATTCATGCATATACACAAGGGTATATATAAAGATATATTTTTATGATATTTTTATTTTTATTTTGGATTCATGACAAAATAATAAAAGAACTGAACTAAAATATGCCTACATTAAGTTGCCCTGCAGGCAAAAAATAGTAAAGTATCTTACTAAACTTTGGTCAACACTCATAACATCAAATTTATCCTCAAAGCTGTCAAGCATTTTTATTTTGTTATCAAACTTGTTTGTTTGGGCATAACATTTCCTGGGTTCAAAACAAACTTTTGCCAAAGGAAGGAAGGAAGAACAATCTATTTATTGTCCTCATCTGAATATTATGTAATTGTTTAACAATGAAACTTCATTTTCAGTCATTATGCCACAGGTATACTTCTTTTAGTTCTGTTTATAAGACATTCAGTCTGTCTAAAATGTTTGACTTACCTTAGAGAGAAGAATACACATTGAGTCTAATATCCTTATCATTCTTTTATCAGTCTGTATAATGAAATAGTTTTAAATGTTCATTTTTAAACTAGCATTTGTTATATCTGAAGTAATTCTGTAAACAGATCTTACAAGAGGCAGTTTTGCATTAAGCCTTGTCATGCACTCAGTACATATATCACATCATCAAGAAACAGGAACAGTTTTAGAAGAGTTTATTTCAATCAAGTATTTTAAAAAGTATTATGCACCCCTCCCCCCTAACACACACCATTAAAAATACAAACAGAAGTTTCTGCCTTTACCCCATTTCAGGATACCGGCCTGATCATGGGGCAGGAAATACCCTGAGGCCTCAAATTTCCACACTTGGAGCTGAGAGTAACCTCCATCAACTCTTCCAAATATAGCACCATTAAAAATACAGACAACCCTCTTACCCTCCCCACCCTCTCTCAGGCCTGCTCAGACCAACTGATACACACCCAGGGCTGTATGCACTCAATCATACTGTACTAATGCAAGATTTGAGCTTGAGTCCAGGTCCTGTTGAAATTCTTCCATCTAACGAGTCCTGGCCCCTTGACACTGGGATGACAGATTTGTAAAGGTAGACCAGCTAGGCTAGATGGTACGTACTAATCAATTTTCCCCATGGCCAAATTTCCTGTAATATGTTGCCCATATTACAAGAGAAGGCATAAGAATTCATAATCATAATTCATGCAAATTCAGAGCTCGATTTATGTTACTTTTTTTGGCATAGTACATATGCCCCTGAAAATATGCTCCATGTAACACCTTTTGGACTCTCCTGCTTCTGGGTGCTGAAGTTCTGGAAGAATTTAAATAAAGTATCGCAAGCATGTTGAGAGATGGGGTAGTACAATGGAGCAAATTCCCCACAATCCTATGAAGCAAGTTTGCAATGACCCCACCACTAAAGGCAGATAGTCGGATTGATGTACTGTGGTTAAAACCTGGAGCAGAAAATGATAATACAGGGTTCTATCAAACCACTCCCTGAGGAACTCAGCCAACCAGAGACCTTCCCCAGTGTCCAGGTTGCTTATTTTTCCCAGCTGTGTGAAAATCAAGGTATCTTAACATACCCTCCTGAGCATAACTTTTATGGAGAAGTGGAATTCAATCTTTCTCTTGAAATGGGGATAGAGTGACTCCAGGCCAAAAGCATCATTGAAAAATCTTAGAAAAGATGGAAGAAGCAATGTAATAAACCATGGTATTATCAGGGAAACAAGCAGAGGCTGGACCTGGAGAGGCTGATTAGAAACTTACCCATACAGGACGCTAGAACAAAAAAACAACAAAACCTGGATCTGCTACCACTCCACCTCATGAGAACATGCATTTTTTTTTTAAATCTGAAAGCATGAAAGTGGGAAAAGAAATGACAGGACTTAATGGACACTGGACTGAAAGAAGACTGAAGTCATAGATGGAAGAGTGCCTTGATGCTTCTTTTCCCAAAAGAGGTAGCACAAACCATAAACCCACCAGGAAAGATGGGGGAAAGAGAGGCACAGAAGGTGAAAACTGAGCCCCAGTCCGTCTTTCCACATAGAATGTACAGTATCCTGACTAGCAATATCCACCCTTCCCACCCCTGACCTTTCCCCACACAAAACCCTTGACCATCTTGCCATCTTTGTTCCTCTCCCCTCCCCCCATTACAGTCACTATCTAAAGGCTGTGTCACTAGTCTCCAACTATTAACTAACATGGAACATCCATAAGTGGAAAGTAGCAAGCAAGAAAGCAAGTCTGGACACCCACATTAAGAGGGGCCACAAAATCAGAACAAGCACTAAAACCTCTATTTCTTTTTAGTACATATATCTACGCTGTGCACAAACATTGATACACAGATGAAACTGCACATCTTGTAGAAGTAAAATTTAAAACTAATGAGACATCATCTCACCTTTAGATCAAAACTATTCTCATAGACACTCACGTCTAGGCATTAAAATAGTATCATACATAGTCACACATTCTGTGATGCAACCAACAACAATGTGCAAGAATAATCAATGGAATAATTATTATGAAATATAAAATGATTACTAACATACAGAACTTTGAGGAAAGAAAAATGTGCCTTATGTTCAAATTTTCACAAATAGAAAGCAAGCTTACAGAAAAAGATGTACAATTTCAGCTATGTCTCAATTATTTTAGTGAGCAATGTGATACAAGTAATCCTTGACTTATGACCATTTGTTCAGCAAGCATTCAGTTACAATGAAGCTGAACATAGGGACTTATGACCCATGTCCGAAGTTACAGTCATGGCAGTGCCCTGTCACATAATCAAACTTCAGGTGCTTAGAAGCCTGCCCACACTTATCACCGCTGGGGGACTTCAACTCCTTCCATTGCCTATCCCCCACTTCCCACCCCCATCTATTCCCATTTGGCCCTCTGCTGCCCTGTGCTCTACTGTCCCAGCTGACCTTCACTTTTTTCCTCTCTTCTACTGCTGACAAGGTATGTCAGGCTTGGTGGTTGTGCTGGGTTGGTCTGAGGCCAGCTTTGCACTGCAAAAAAAAAAAAAGGGACAAAGCAGCTTAAAGGGTCCATAGTGCAACAAAACACCCCTTTGCACCATGCTCGGGGATGCATGAGGCTGGCTTTATGCTATGTAAAAGGGGGGGAAAACAAACAAAGCAGCTCCTTTCAATAACTGCTTTGTGATTTCCCCCCCCCCCCCTTTTTATAGCACAAAGCCAGCCGTATTTGTCCCCAGGAGCACAGAAACATTTCGGTATATTTCAGTTCTGGAATGAATTTTGTGACTCCCGCTCCATCTTGAAGACAGTTCCAGTTCTGCCCAATAGCCAGGGTGGGTAAACTTTGTCAGCAAAGGAAGCAAGAAGATGGCAGCAAAGCTCAGCTGGGTCGGAGGGGGGGTGTCTCGGAGTGCCAGATGACAAGGGCAACTAGAATTGGAAGCGCTGCAGCCAAAAGGGCAGAGATTGGGGGTGGGGGTGGGGTGGGGAGAGATAGGCATGTTCAGGTCTTAAAGGGACCAATCCTGGAATGCTTAGAGTGAGTCCTTGGCCAATGACTAAGCGTTGTTTAGCGATTAAAATTCTAGTCCCAATTATGGTCATAAGTTAAGGATCACCTTTATCAAGTTCACTAACGTTTTTTAAATTATCTTTCTTCATACAGTCCTGGGAGAATAAAATGAAGAATGTCCACAGACAGTGGTAATTCTGGACAATCATATGAACCACTTATAGGAAAATATTCAAATTGTTACCAAAAATATGCTATTGTTATGCCTCCCCAATTAATTTGTTTAAAAACTGTTGTTTCTACTGTCCCTGTGTCTGTATTATTTCTGTAATATTTTTACATGAATATGCATTGTCTGTGGTTATTCTTCTTAAGATTTCATTCTCAGGACAGGTTGAAGAGCATCAGCTCATTCTACCTTTTCAAAGCTAGTATCTAAAACTACTTTTAAAATTACAGTGGTTTCCCAGGAATCAGCACCTGTTTTGTAGAGCAATGAAAAAGCCAGAATTGCAATATATTATGTATCTCAGACCAAAAATGCATGCCAGACAAACTAGTTGCTACTCTAAAAGCTCTATAATTCAGATTTTCCAACTTCAGAGATCAAAGAACCTATGCTGGATTCTACCCATAGAAATTTAATAGAAAGTCTAAGTTTACTGGAGTTTATTCTCAAATGTGCACAGCTTAACCTCCATTTTAACATAACCTTCAAGTCATCTAGACAAGCTTCTCTAACGCTAACTGCACCAAAACTACAATACCAAACAAACAAAAAAAGAGGAGTTGAAAAAGGAACATCAGGCTGTCCTAAGACTCTTGGATATGTATCCAAAGTCAACACCACAAAGGATTCCACAAAATTTCAAAACAAAGCAAGCACTTAAAAGAAAAACTTGACCACCATGTTTCACCCATTCAATTGCCACCACCTCTCCCCATATACCTTGCACTCAGTTTTCTACCAGAATGTGCCCTATCTGTTCAAAATCCTGTCATGGCAAGATGAATGGGAAAAATATACAGCAAATCCACTTACCATATATGACTTTGAACTGAATTAGGCCACATTAAACTGAGTAGAACTTTTATCTTGCTCATCAGCCTCTCACAGAAGGAAGCCCCTTTATCGCAATGCCCCTGAGCCAAGCAGCTCAACTTTATCAAATATAAAGCACCTGAATATCTAAAGTTCATTAAGATTCTAAAAAGGCCCAGCAGACACTTGTTTAAAACTCTGGCTGGGAGAAGAAACAAGTCACACAGATTAACTAATATAAAAGTAGCTTCCAAAACTAGAAAATTAGCTGTCTTGTAACAATAGGCACCCAAACAGTGAGACGGCAAAGGAAGAGGAGCAAGAACATTTAATTCCCTATATAAGCCTGTTTAGCATTGAACAGCCTTTAGGCTAAATGGACCGAACAGTTTAGGCTGCATGCCAATGTGCACTTCTGGTTGCTGGTTTTCTCACAATAAGTTTTAAAGAGACTTCCCTGATTAGATGCTGGTTTTCTTTTCTCCACAAGTCACTTCACCACTTTGTAGGGACAATAAATGCCAAAATACCATGTTCATCTGTCAAGAAGTCTATGACTACAGTGCTATAAACCAGAGCATGGAGATATCAAGAGTAGAAAGAGGAAAGGACTGTGGAAGAGAAAGTAGAGTTCAAAGAAAAGACCAGGAGGCAATCCAAAGCCTCCATGCAGTCTACTATATGGCTTAGGTTTCAAGACTATACAGTGAAGTTTGGCAAAGTAGTGGAGATTTTTTTTTAAAGGAATAGTGAGGAAGTGATAAAGGAAGTACTCTGGAAAGACAACTGAAATATCAATTTCAATGGAAAAAGTAGGAGTTGAACACAAGGTTGCATTTTTAGCACAGGCAGCTTTGTGCCCACCTGGGGACAAAGGGACTTCAGAAGAGATGTTACCAACCCATACAAGGTGATGGGGAGAAGGGCACAACAAAAAGATGGATAATTTCAGGCGAATTCTGGTAGATGGTTATCATGGGTAAATTCAATAATAAGCTAAAGTCTTGTTTTCAATCACAGAAGATCAGCCAGGTCAGAGGACATCTCCTCACAGGAGCTTGCAGCTACCTCGAGGTTGATGGAACCATGGCTCACTACCAGTCGAAGCCGTTTGGGTGGAACAAAAGGAGGAAAGGAAACCATCCGCTTAGGAAGATGCTGCTCCTCCGCTTGTTCCTTCTCCGTCTTGTCTGAAGGGGGCTGCTGCCAGCACTGCCTGCCTCCAAAAGGTGGGCCTTCCAGGCGGACGTGAGCATACTGGGAAAGCTTGGGGTCTACCATTGGTAATGACAACTCAGATTGGGGCAAAACCTGAGCTTGGCGCTGGGCCGTGCTCCTTGTTCTGCACAAGAACTGACTGGATGAAAGAGAACCTGAAGAATCAAGGGGGATTTGCTCTCCTGAATGGAGAACCCCAGATCCTGATTCATAGGATTCTTTAACATCAGCATGACTCTCCATATCCCTTGAATCATCTTCCTCGGTCCCCTGGCTAAACTCCTGATTGGCGTTTTCCTCCTTAGTGTCACACGCTACTTCCCTATGAAACCTTGCCCAGTCCAAGGGAATTCTCTTCCCAAGATTCACTATCAGGCTGCCCTGGTTGGCCAAGCCAGGGCTTTCAGGGCAATTATGCATCTGTATAGGAGAGCAGCTTTCCTGGGCCTTGTAGTAGCAATTCTTGTTTCCCAAAGACTGCCTGAGGTGCAATACAGATAACATAGGAGAAGGACAACGAAGCAGACACACCAGAGGCTGCTTACGGAGCTTGCATCCACGTGTTCTGCAGGCCAAGCAGTTGTGCAGTGGGATATATAAAGGTTTGAGCATCTTAAGATACCAGCGAGTGGTATATCTGTGTACAGCACCTAGAAAAGGAAAAGAGGTATCAATTATAAGAATATCACTCCACTTTCCAGTTTCTTCTTATTAACGACCACTGCCATATCTTCACTACACAACAGGCAACTTCCATTTCTCTCTGGATTTTTCAAGGGCTTTAAGAAGATGGAGTAAGTTTATGACTGCTTTAACATCTACCTGCCACTAACATCCACAATCCTATATACCCTTTCTTCAAACATGTAAATATTTGATATTTTAAAACAGATCTTGCATAGATAACCTAACTGTACTTATCAGCAATCTCACAGAGAAGCTGCACATTTTCCTGAAATCACACAGTAAGTGCAAGATCCCAGAAACACTAAGGAAGCAGCAACATAAGGGGTAGCTTATCTTTCCCACTTTGGAGCCAAATATTTGAACATTGCTTACATTTTCCAATACAGGAATTAAATACTACCCAATTAATTCTACCAGGCTTTAATCTAATACTGTAGCTAGAATAGTTCTTGAGTATCCTCTTTAATTAAAAAAAAAATTACTATTTTATTTTTGCTACCACAAAAAGCATTAGGGTAACTACTACTGCTATGGAACAAACCCTGAGGCTAACAGGAATGTAACAGAGTCCTCATTATAATGGACATTATGATTATGTTACAGGTGATAAGCAAACCCTATTGCCCTGCACAGCACTATGATGCACAAAATCCATTCCAGTTAAGTATCTTACCACGTAATTTTGATTTCCTGCGTCGGGCTTTGTGTCGCACTTTCACATTACGTTGAGCAAGTTTGCAAGACTGATTTTTCCACCTCTGCAGACGTCCGTCTGTCTCTCTCAGTAGGTATTTCTCACTGACTGAGGTAGCTAGCAATGGTGTCTGATTCAGAAGGCGAAAAGCTCCTTCGCCCTTTCTAAGGAAAAATTGAGAAAAAGAGACAGTATCAGGAGCAGCCCAGCATTAATCAAAAAGATCGGTGCTTACTCATAATATCTGTACATCCTTTTCTATCCTTCGAGAAAATAAATTCCAAGGCACTTGCCAAATGCATGAAAAATTAAGACATGATAAACCTAACACTAAGGATGAAGAGATTTCCTACTGATGAACTCTGTGTCAGAACAGTTATAAGTTCCTCTACCTAGACTTTAGATTCTACCATCAATCTTTCCAGGGCTCTTGTGATAACAGAAGAAAAATACTGCCCCTCCCCTTTCAAAATCCTACACTCACTAGCAACCATCCCTTGAGGACTAAGGCTTGTTAACACCTGGGAATTAAGGAGTCTGCACGTCTTGCCAAGAATGATTGCCGAAAGCACTGAAAGATGGAGGCAAGAATTAATGGAAATTATCATTTGGTTTCCCTTCTTGCAAATGCTTCTGAGAAACTCAGAAACCCAACTCCCAACCAGCTCCCAATATCTGAGATTCTGTTCCCTTCCATTTTCACCTTTCACAAGTGTGGCATTCGCATAACTCATTGTTCTCCCCAAAGAAGCCGTCACCATAGAAGCATGTGATCTCATCATCTGGCTCAATGTCCCGCAGCACCTTGACACAAGCAGTGTTCCCATCCATTGGGACAAACTGCAGCACAAACAATGGGTTGGGATAGAAAAAGCAGTAAAAAAAGGATAATCGGAAAGGAAAGAAGCAGATTCAAGAAGCTCATAGGAAAAGCATATAGTCTCCTCTTCCCCTTCAGAAAATTGAAATCAACTTTTTCTCAAAGCTATTTGTTTAGACTTCTTATGCTTTTGTAGCACAATTTTGCAAAACAGGATATCAAAGGGAATTTGGTTTCTTCTGATCCTAAACAATGGAGAACTATAGCATATTTCCAGCTTTCAAAATGGGAAAGAAGTCTTTTACCCCCAATAAAGAATAGAAGATTAATGAGGTAGAGCTTCAAGGAGATACTTTTCTACCTCAGACGATCACAACTCCTTTTAAGTGTTTTCCAGACACTACTACAATATGTTGTGCCTCTGGTTTATTTCAATCTCTTCCCAAATATATTCCCTCTCATTCCTATTCACTGCAGTCAGTAATATGTTTAGGCCTCATCCCAAGCTTGTATTCTAATGAACAGCATCCCTTGCTCCAACAATATGTCAACACAGCTTACCTTACAGTTTGGTCTGCAGTCTGTGGGCAGGAATTACATTTTGCAGGGGAATAATAAGAAGAAAAAGGAAGATTTTTAAAAAGAGCTAATTGTAAGTATTCCTTTTTAGCAGAAGCTGCAGCAGAGAAAATTTGCTCATCTTTTCAACAGTACATTTTGCTTTATCTTGAAGCATTTACAAATCTGAATCAATTGAGTAAGTGACATATAAATTATGGAAATCCAATCAAAGAAAAGTACTGTATTTGGCTTAAATCCTCAGTTTCCATGTTATGAGCTCAAAGTAGAACACTTGTCATTTGTATAAATATAATATAACAAACCTCTCTCACTCAATAAAGTGCAAAACAATTGTGCCTTATGTCTTACACTCTTAATGAAAATGTTAAAATACAGAAAGGAAATAAGTTTTTCTATGAGTTCTGTGGCTGAATTAGGAGAAACATTAAAGAAAGTTCAATTTATTATTGCCTTTTGCAGTTAAATTCTGAACCCTAAATCTATCAGATAATCCCTTGGTCATTTGAAAGCCTTACTAATATAGCATTTTAAGCAATTAATAACTATGAAAATGTTCTTAAAAGACTATTGCCTCACAAATAGCTGGTAAATAAACATCTCCCATTTTGGTTATCTAGAAATGCGAAAAATGAATAAATAACAATACATAAATTTAAAAATCTTATACTTAATATTATTCTTATTCTTCCAGATTCAAAAAAAAATTAACAGCCCAATATAAAACATACAATCCCGACTAGATGTTCAAATGTATTTAGACAGTGCAAACTAATTTTTAATCTACAGGCCACCTATATTGATAGTTAGAATCTTCATATCCCCCAGTTGCTAAAGTAATCACAATTCTTGGCAAATGCTTAATTTAGAAAATAACAGATGAGATAACTTGCACAGGTGCACATACAGAGTGACATGATTAGGCCACTGCCTATAAAAAACCTGCTTCTGTCCGGTCATTAACTGGGCAGATAAGTAGGGACGATTGTATTTCTTTAGAACAAATTTAGATTCTTTTAAGCCTCAGTGCTTTTAAATTTCAGTAATTCTACCAAAGAAACAACTCGCTACAATGACAATTCCTTTTTTCTTGCCCTTTTACTAAAATATAAAAATATCTCAAAAGAAACCACAGTAGGAATAATTCACCTACGTTATCCAAAAACAATGACTGTTATAATGAATAATAAAAGATGCCTGAGCATTATTACCTAGTCAATCATAACTAGGAAAATATATTCATTTTTGTAAGAGAAAACTGGAACAGTATCTAGACATAAAGGTTCAAACAGATTTTAAAACATTCTGTCAATGAAAAACAATGCACGTTTTGGCAACCCAATAACTTGTTAAGTACAGAGTCCTGTCTGTCTGTATTCGTGTCAGAAGTAGCTACAAAGCTAGCTGAAATGAGATTATTAATTCTTAATACTATAATTAGGACCATGCAGCAGTTCAGATTTGAAGTGGAACAAGTGATTTGAAGATCTGGAGACACTCACACAGCTCCAGTGGCAATTCTGTAAAGAGGTTGTATCTTTCCCTTGTTTCAAAGTAGCCCAAGAAAAGCCACACTGGGTTTAAGGAAATGTCAACAGGTCTAATGAGCACTCCCACGTGAGTTCTGAATAATATACTCTCAGCTGAATCCTGATTGCTATACTGCCCCATTAATAACAACTGCATGTTCACTACACACCAGTCTTCACCCCTGTTTGGTTCTGATGTATCCCTATTGATATCTACATAAAATTCAATTTCCCAAATACTTGGCTAGAATATTATTTACTACTACTCTCTGATCCGGGATAAATAGTTATCTTATTTCTCCTCATCAGTTGGTCTAAGTTACAAGACCAGTCATATGAGACTTACAATTATCATTTTCATAGCAATTTAAACAGTTTGATGCAACTACCTCTCTAGCTTGCACCTGAAGGCTTCCACCTACCATGATTAATGAAGGCTGCAGGCCCTAGCCAAAGCTGGGCACACTGTTTCCGGGTGGAGTACATGATGCTGAAGTCATTTTCACCTGCTCGGAGGAGGCTCTCATCGGGTTCTGTCAGTTCTGCAATGTAGCCTTCTAAAAGCTCCAGTTTATCATTCTTTCTCCTTATGGGAGAGGGAAAAAAAATAACCTTACCTATCCAGGATTATGGTGCTATAATCTTAAGTAAAACGTGCAAGAGCAAATGCATGGCTACTTTATTATCCACTTCTTTGCATTCTAGTTGGAAAGAAAGCTTTTCTAATGGACATGCCCTGTTATGAAATACACTCATTAGAAAAATCATTCCTTGCCCCTCCCTTTATTTTCCTCTCAATGTTGGTTTATACATTTGTGGGCTTTTATGCATCATAGTTCTATTTCTATTTATTTCTCTTTTTTAGTATAATCCAGCATGCAAGTTAATAATTTTGCCAAATGGGGAAGCAATAGCAGTATGAACATACCATGATTTTGTAGACACTATCCGGGCTCCATTTATTTCTAAGGAATATCGACTACAGCGCCTGATGGCAAAACCGCTCTCAGGAAGGAAAACGCGAAGGTACCGAAAAATCTGAGATGGGTATTGGGGGTGGGAGGGGGAGAGGTAGAAGAGAATTAGATATGTTTTCTGCCTTGAATTGTTTATACAAAATAATAAAAGTGTGATTATAAATAAAATAAATCTTTGCAAGGGAGTTAATTGGAAGAATCAATGGAGAGAGAGAACTTAATTAGAGACAATGCTTCTTCCTTTCTATGAATATGTTTACTCTCTTCCCAGATAAAATTTATCTCGCTATAGTTTGTAAACAATTTTCTTTCTATCAGGCTAACATTCTCATCAGTTGGAGATGTTTAAAAACTTCAAACCAAAAAAAGATTAAAAAGAAGAAAATGATACTTCTCGGACTTTTCACCCACAGCCAGCCTCTGTGGACCTTCAGTGCCAACTTATGTTACAAGTACATGCCCCACAATTCATTTTTAATAATAAATAACACGTTATGGAACCACCTTTCCAAACCTGATTGTTTGGAATGGTGTTAAATTAAACTCCCACCACCCTAACTGCCCTGCTGACTAGGATGATAAGAGCCATAATGTAATAATCCAAAAGGAACATGATTGGGATGAAAAAGTGTATATAAATAACTTTTTCAGACTTCAACATGCTTTCCAGCCATTAAACAGGCAAAAACCAGGATTGTACATGAGTCTTGAGGGCAGCTTCCTGCTGATGGCTCCGGTTTGCAAAATACTGGCAGGCCCAGCCACCCTGCACCAAGGCTTGATATGCTGCTTCTAGGTCCTTGCGCTTCCGGAAAGCTTCTACTGCCTCCCGTAAATGGTGCTTCCTCCTGATGGCTGGAAGTGGGCTATAAAAATGAAAGAGGAAGAATTTCTTTTGTAACATTTTCCTCCCCTCATTTCAGGTAGTCTTTGACTTGCGACCATTAGTTCAGTAACCATTCAAAATTACAATGGTGCTGAATGGACAAGTCATGGTTGTTGCAGCACCCCTGCAATCATGTCTTCAAAATTCAGGTGCCTGGCAGCTTACTTGCACTAACAATCATAGAAGTGCTGCAACTCTCTCCACCCGCTTATCTTTCCCATCTCAGCTGTGCACCAGTGTCTGCAAATCTGCTGTAGCGTAGGAGGCCTCTGCCAGATTCAGAGCCCACCAACCATCAAAAATCTGGTCCCAACTATATGTCAAATACTATCTGCACTCTCAATCCTCTCCACTTAATATTCAAATGTATAAAAAACTTATCTATTTACAATCTTAATTTTCAGACTTATTCCATGTCTACTCCTAGATCTTACCTTACATTCATTTTATGAGTCTTAAATCCAAGATAGGAGTCAAGAATTAGCGTTGTGGCAAGGTCATCATTCTCACATAGTTCTTTTGCAGTTAACCTAGTAGAGCCCATCTTCTTTCTAGAACCATGCTGTTCTCAACTCTGCTAGCCACAAGAGAGAAGTGAGAGACACAATTAAAGCCAAATACACGGAAGTTGGGAATCTGAATCAAAACTCCAACAAAAGCTGGACTAGTAAATATTAAAATAAGCAGAAGTATTCCTTACAACCCCTACCATAATTTTACCTTGCTATTTGCATGTACTCTGAGATTTCCTTTTTTTAAAAGAAAGTCAACTTTTATAGAATTGTTCTATAATTAATTTTAAAACTGCTGGTAAAAATAGCATTTTGCACATATGGTCATAATGTGTGTACTATGTTGATGTTTCCATTGTGTACTACAATTTTCATAATTAAATTTTAAGCCAAGAAACACAGTTTGTATACCTGCAGGTATACAAACTGAATTGATGAACAAAAATTATTTCATTATGCTTCATATTTGATGTAACTTTTTAATATTGTGACAAATAATCTAGAACCACTTTATTAAACCTGAAGCTCGTATAACTTTCATTTGATCTGATCAACAAAACAAAATTCTCCATGGTCAGGGGGAGAGGGAACAAGCATTGAAAAAATATGATGCTAGAAAAATGTTTTTAAAACATACTACGTACCTCAAAACATGAAATACAAATATTTTATGGAAGAATCTAGACTCTAAAACCTTCCTCAAATCGGTGCCCTCCATAGGAGTTAAAATCCATCTATGGGGAATATTTGTGATAGATACCCAGCAGGTGGCAGCATCTGACTAACCTTTATGAGGCTCACAAGGCAAACAGGATTGGACCTGGTTAGTCCTGGATAGAACACCAGCAATCCCTGAGATGTAAAGTAGATTGGGATGTCAAAGCAACATTGTAAAAGAAACGACAAACCACTTGTATCACCAAAAGATGAATTTGACCAGAGAGACATTTTAAAATACAAAAACATTCAACATATATTTCTTGAATTCTTTCCTCCTTCTAGTTCTGAAAATACTGGAACTAGAAGTATTCCAAACCTCTCCTCTTTGTTGATGCATTTTTCACTTCTCTCTCAAAATAGTTGTGACACAGACTTATAAGACAACAACAGGATCAAGACTTAATACTCTTTATTAATATTATCATTATCAGTAAATATTGTACTATAAATTGCATAATACAATTCATGTATGAATCATTATAAATTGTACATTAAAGCAAAATATGTCTGAAAATAAAACATTCTAGAAATTTTAGGATTTGCACCCTGCATCATATGTTTCTATGAGAAGGAGCAGAAAAATAAATATGTAATTGTTTTTTTACAGGATGTCAAAATGCCCAGACTTTAAATTTCTAATTTGGTCCCAATCTGTTAAAAAACTATCTCTCCGCTATTACAATACTTTAAAGCTTCCAAAACGTATTATACCTACTCAAAAGACCCACTTTATCAACCCTTACAAATGATATTTCTACATAGTTCACTGCGTTAAGAGTGAATTCTTAATGTCCAGAAACCATAAAATGATACCCCAATCCCACTCCCAAAATCTCTAAATTATGTCTCCAGATTCATATAAAAATGTCAGGATTCCTCTCGTCTCTGATAGCAGTTTGCACAAACCAAATAGTTGATCCAAATACTATGCATTTATTCATCTACTTATCCACTCACTCAGGCATATGCACTGCTTTAGTCAGAAACCCTAAGCTTACATTTCCAATGAAATGTATGAATGAAAGTGTTAAAGCACGGGTGTCAAACTTGCTGCATCATGTTGCCATGTGACATTTCACAACTTTTCCCCCATTTATGGAGCTGGGGTGGGCATGGCCTGCACATGACACATCCAGCCTGTGGGCCGCCACTTTGACACCTGTGTTAGTGTCCTGGGTTGGTAGTAGTACACCATCACCTCTTTCAAGGCAGATAGAACCACCCTTTTTCTCAAGGATGTAGTCATTACTCCTCTAATCCAGCTTCTGTCACCTCTTTAGTTGGTGACAGAACCAACCAGAAAAGCAGGGATCCAATCAACAAGTGGCAAAGCTAATGTCACAAGCATCCTATCTCAGAACTAACAGAACCAAACACATCCCAGATAACTTTGCAAGACCCCTATTTTTTGTAATAGACTTGCCCATTTGGCTTCTAACTGAATCAATTTATATTCCACACACCCTGCAAACTCCTTCACTCTTTATAGCTTGTATTTCTGCTATTGTTTTTATTATGAAAGCAGTACCTTCAGGTTTAGCAAGAGATCAATTGCTGAGTTAGGAGCACCATGGTACTGTGAAAACTAGACTGGGATATTAAGTCAACATTCTTGTCAAGCCTTTGTTTCTAATTTACCAATTCCCTGAGCTGTTGTGTAGTACCAACATGTTGTGTAGTACCAACAAGTCTTACTGGTTTACAGCAAGATATATTATAAATGCAAATTAGTTAATTTGTGTTTTTTTTTTAAGTAATATAGAAATAAGTTGCTGCTGCCTTCTTTCTTTTGCAACTTCGCAAACTAGCCTCTAGCTATGATTTCCATTCAAATACTAACCAATCCAAACTATACTTACGGTATTTTCCAAAGTCAGCCAGTTGTTGCCTCCTACTTAGCCATATGGCTAAGGCCAAAGTAATCATTTGAAGTGAGAGAATAGCTATACTCATCTGAAATGAATACCTCATGTTAATTGAACCACAATTTATTCAGCCTAGTCCTCTAATTTAATGATACACTGAACCACAAACAGGATATTTTAACCTAGGGTATTGGACAGATCCAATGTATGTGATTAGTTCATGATTTAATTACCCTATATGAAACAGTAAAAGAATACTGTGGCACAGAAGAGATAAAAAACAAAATTCCTATAGTTCAATAAGTCAGGAATGCCAGAAAAAATAGTCTTACAAGTTATCCAGATTTACACTGTTCCATACCTTACACTGAAATTGATTGAAATTCATTAACTCATTTTTTTTATTTGTACAGATGTGCAAAATGCTGTAAATCCACTGCACTAAACTAAATAGAACAGATTTTCCTCTTTCTACACCACTGTGACTATTTCAAGGTAGAGTTCTTGAAACCATTATACTTCTTCATCACATACAGCACTAAGCATTTCTTCAAAGTATTCTTCAAAAGAGATAGGGTGTTAATTAAAGATAGCTATAATCTATTTGTAAGGAGCTCAAGTCTATTTACATGCAAGTTCCTGTTTCATAATCTGGGCCAGAGAATTTCCTGACTTTAGTTTTCTGAACTATAACAGGCTGCACTTTCTTACTTTTTTTCTCCAAATTCCCAGCAATGTCAGAAGAAGAAAATAGCAATTAGTCTTCAAGACAGTAGAATTATTGGGAATGGTTATACGAGCATTATAAATTAAATTATTATAAATTAATATAAATTAAATAAATTGATTTTTATGTGTAAATAAAAAGCAATATTTCCTAGCTGGCACTGGACTAAAATTTGTAGAATAAGTATGACAAACTATAACCCAGAGATTCCTCTGACTGCTACTGCTGCTACTGGTAATATTTGTTACCATATGAGATACAAAACTTGAAATTGCATGTCCTTCAGAAAGATTAACATAGTTTTAAAAAACAAAGAAAAATAGATCCACACAATTTGCATCATTGTTTTCTTCATCATGTTCTAGGATTTCCTCAAAAGTTTAATGGAGCTCTGTGACACATGTTGCCCAATGCACATCAGGAAGTGCAACTATGCCACCGCATTGCACATCAGGAAGGCATCAGGTTGGGCAAAAGAACAGAGAGTCAAGACAACAGCATGTTTGTTATTTCCCAATATATAATTTTGTCAAGTCTATTTTTCAAAATTGTTTCAAATTAAAATCCTCTTCTTGTGTATCATACTGCCATCAATCAGGGTGTGTTGGATGAACTATATTTGGTTTCATTCATACATCACACTAAACAGCAAATAAGGAAACCACATTATGGCTGTTTGCACTGTATGAACAAAATTACTGAGATATCTCCCTTAACAGTACGTTCACATTATTAGTTTTGTTTATGACATAAGCAAGATGCACTACCACAGTTATTAGATGAAATACTGTATGTACTGTTAAGAAAGATATCTCAATATTCAGGCCGTTACGAAGGGGAAAACATTATTTTATATACCTGAGTCCTTTTCAGGAGTGGACATCAAATACAGTGGTAACTGCATACATATCAAAGAGTTCTAGTAAAAAGAATTGCAGGTAAACAAGGAAGTGCCAATAGGGAAGGAGGGAAGGAAGGAGGAAAGGAAGGAGGGAGGGAGGGAAGGAGAGAAGAAAGGAGGGATGGAAGGGGGAAGGAGGGAGGGAAGGAAGGAGAGAAGGAGAGAAGAAAAGGAGGGAAGGAAGGAGGGAAGGAAAGAAGAAGTAGGATTGTTGTAAAATAAGATGGGTGTATGGGATGGTAAGAAAGCAATTTCAATTATGTTGTCAATTGTAGGGGAGAAAAATTGTTACAAATACATATTATTAATAACAGTTATGAGATCATATAATTGTGAATGTATATATGAGAAATAAAAATTTAATTTAATTTAAAAAAAAAAAAAAAAGGAAGTGCCAATAAAAGAGAATTATTTGTAGCTGAATGTTGAACTCTGGGGTCCTAACTGTCCTAGCCACTGAAAGGTATTAGTATCTACCACATGACACATATTGAAGAATCAGCACACATCATTTGTTTTTGATACACAATAATAATTTTAAAAGTCTCAAAAAAAGCTTTAAAACCTATCTCAAATAGCAACTTTATCTATAGCGGCTGTGTGTGAAACAGTACAGGAAGTCTTCAATTTACAACCATTCATTTAGTGACTGTTTAAAGTTACAATGGCACTGAAAATAATTTCTTATGACCATTTCCACAAACACGACCACTGCAGCATCCCCATGGACACATGACCAAAATTCAGATGCTGGGCAACTAGTTCACATTTGCAAATGGGTGCAGTGTCCCAGGGTTATGTGTGACCTTCTGACAAGCAAAGTTGATGTGGAAACCAGATTCACTTAACCATCGTGTTACTAACTTAACTGCAAGGATTCACTTAAATAACCATGGCAAGAAAGGCTGTAAAATGGGGCAATTGTCTCACTTAGCAACATAAATTTTGGACTAAATTGTGATCATTAAATAAAGGACTTCCTGTATGTAGAACAATGGGCAAGAGCTTCAAAACTGCTATTACACTGGATTCAGGCCTCGAATTCAACAGTTGTGGATAGGAAATTTCTGGACCAACTGTATAAAGAGAAGATATTTTAACACAGAACGATTAGAACAATAAGTGAAGAGATGAATGAAAGCTAGTTGATGCCACAGACCATGTGACAGATTTGAAAAAGAATTTGATTGGCTATCGCTTTGAGTTACTTGTAAAAAAATAATAATAATAAAGGTGGGATACAGATGAATGAATAAAAACTACACCTAATCAGACTTTCCCAGCCTAGTATCCCATTGATATCTTGGACTAAAAACTGTTTTAAACCTATTGAGAATGCTGCCTAAAAATTAAGGGAAGGTCAGTATACCTGAAAAACAGAGTCAGGCAGAGTTCAGTGTAAAGGAGCTGTTGTTTCTTTTTTTTGCAGAAAGCCAATTACAGAGCAGGAAGGGAAAGTTGGTGGGGCAGGGGAGAAATGCTCCTTACCTGAACCCCAAAACTAAGCCTTTCATTTGAAGGACAAGAGAGTGGCTTTGAGGGAGAGCATGAGGGAACGGTTGTTTGTTTGTTTGCTTTTTAATTCATAGAGGCTGTTTGGGATGAAACAGGAGAGGAGGGGAAAGGGGCTATGACCCTGAGAGGAAAAGCCCATTTGGGGGCTTTGTTACCTTAGGATCTGGAAACGAAAGGCGGGAGCGGAGGGAGGGCGGCACTCTCTTGGCACCTTCCCCACAGGCAGAGACTGACTGACTTGACAGGCAAAAAGTCGCTTCTGCCCAAGCCTCGCACAACCCAAGGGAGATTGGCATCCCCGCCACCCCCTTCCCCACCGCTCCCCTCGCGGGCTCCCACGCGCACCGCGCCTTGGTGTAACCACCCGCGCGCGAGGCAGCCGCGCTCTTATCCACTTCCTCCCTCCCGCCTCACGCGCGGCCGTCCCCAAAGGACTTTCCCCCCCCCCGCAACCCCCCCCCCCCCTTTCGCTTTCCCTCCTCCTCCTCCTCCCTGTTCCCTTTCTTCCTTTCTCTTACACGCAGAACCGCACGAGCGCTCCGTTTCTTATTCTCCGCTGTTGCTTCGCCCGCCTCCCAAAGCGCGCGCGCGCGCGACGAGCCCCCACCACCACCACCTTCCCCCCACCCCCACCCCGTGCGATTCGCTGTGCCGCAAGCCTGTCAATTTCCCGACCCTGTAGTCACGGGATGCCGTTGGCCACGTTCCGCCGTCAATCACAGGCGGCCACACCCTCTTCCCGTTGTGTCTCTATTGTGTCTCCCTGAAGCAAAAGACGGCCACTAGGACTTCCCACCCGCATGCTCGGGAATGATTGGTGTAAAGTGACTTCCTTTGGAAAGAGTGTCTCGGTCTGTTATTCGATAGGGCAGATGCGTGCTGCTGCTGATTCCTGCCGCTGCTCAACATAAGGGAAGGGGTGTGGTTGCATCTTATTCGACAAGGCTGTTGTCCATTAATTTAGAACCCGCCTTCCGAAGTCGAATGAGGACGCGGCCCCCAGCCTATGCGTCCGATTGGGCAAATATGCTGCCTATCAAATTGCTTATGCCATTCTTTCTCCCGTCGCGCCTTATTCGGAACAGCACCCTGCCTAAGCATGCTTATTGTGCATATTAGGCTAGAGCAATGTTTCCCTATTGGATAATTGAATGTCAAATAAATGTAACCACCGTCTCTTACAAAGACTGCACAGCCCTCCCCTGTGCTTATCTTCATTGGCCAAACGCAATGCTTATCAAGGAGTAAGATACGCCTTCCAGAGCTCATTGGGTAATTCAATGAATTTGGACAAATCATCCTCTTTCTTCAGTTCCTGTGGGCGTTCCCCCACTCTTGTTGATCAAAGAGACGCGTTCTCCTAAGCCTGACATAGTAATAGTTTTGAAGGTGGGAGATCCACTGACCGAGACTCCCTGCCCTTTCTGTAGATCCCGCCATTTGAAATCTCCCGCCATACTGCCGCCATTCTCTATTGGTTCGACAAATCTATCCAAGTGCCTTATCATTTAGCAAGTTTACTGGTCAACTCAGCTGTCTGTCACTGAGCACACGATTTGTTTCGGCTTACAAAGCTACGCCTGTTATGAACACAGGAAGCCACTAAAACAGAAAGCTTAGATTTGTCCATTAGATTACTTCAAACTTTTTTGAAGTACTGAAAGTGGGTGGAAGCCTCACCCTTTCAAACCTTAGCCTTTTCGAAATCCAGTTTTAATTCATCAATCTTGCAGAAAAGTTACGGTAAATGCTGGCGGATAGAAAACCACCAGGAACTTACTTGCTGGAATTGGGAGAAGATGAAAAAAGAAGAAAATAAACCACCTACGTACTGTTTGCAAGAAAACTACATAGACTTGCAATCATGTCGCTACAATATAAATGGTTGTTTTGGAACAGCTTTTATCTGATAGGTATAGTAATTGGTGGGACATGTTGGCTCAGTGGCTGTGACATGATCTTAACTTGTCCCAGCTTCTGCCAATCTAGAAGTTCAAAAACATGTAAAAAATGCAAGTAAAAAAACAGGAACCACCTGTTTATAGGGTTTCCTGCCTTAGCAAGGGGTTGGACTAGAAGACCTCCAAGGTTCCTTCCACTTCTGTTATTCTAAACTAGGGGTGTCAAATTGGATGGGGTTGCAGGCCACATCAGGAGTTTGTTTGCCCTGGGGTGGGGGACATGTGGGGCATGGCCTGATTATCGCAGCCTGCTGGAGGGGCATGGTTGGAACCAGGGCAGCAGGGGCTGATCCCTTGCTGTCTCCAAGGTGACTCTGCGGCATATGGCGAACCGGATCTGGCCCAGAGGCTGTGACACATCTGTTCTAAACTGCCATATTTCACCATATTTACAAATGATTCAAATGATAGAAAATATGATTTACCCAATCTGTGGGCAGCACAAAAATAGATCAGTAGCAAACATGTTAAAAACAAAGTATCAAGATGCAGAAGGACTTAGAACAAGTTAGAACAACAGGCAGAAAGTGCCAAGTTTTTCATTTGGTAACTAAAATAAATTAAAGACATGAGGATAGGGGGAAGAAGACTATATGAGATACGAGCACTTGGGAAATGGATCTGGGTGTATCAGCATAAGCCATAGCTGCAAAAAAAGGAAGGAAGGAAGGAAAATACAGTCCACAACTACCAATTTATGTCAAACTAGCATTTATTTAACAATTATCATTGTTAAAGCTACCTATCTCAACAAGACACTTTGGGCAATGAAAAAAAAAACAAATAAAATAAAAATAATTATAACAAAAATTAAATAGAAAAATTAAAATTCATAATAGCCAATAACTCAGTCCACAATGCCAATAGAGCCAGGAAATGGATGCTTTCATACATTCGGGGCCCCAATTCTAGACACTCTTCTCAGATATAACTAAAATATTGGATCCAATTGTGGTGACCACATCTTAGGAAGGACATTGGCCAACAATTAGGGGTTAAACTCAAAAGACCTTGAAGGTCCCTTCCAACCTTATAATTCTGCAATAATTCTAGGAGCCTGTTCAGTAAACAGCAGCCTTATCATCCACTTACCATGGAGAAGCAGAACTTGTGGGAAAAGGTGACAGCTGCCTTCAAGCATCTTAAAAAGTGTCAGGTTGAATGTGAGGCAGCAGGGTCTTGAGGTGGGGGACGGAAACATTTTTAAAAATTGAGATGACAGCCATGGTCCCTATGAAGCAAAATTCTTCATAGTTGTTGCAGATCAAGAAACAATGGACTTAGATCAATATTTCTTACTCAGCAACTTCAAAATGTATGGCCTTCAGATCCCAGAATTCCCCAAGCTGGTTGGGGAATTCTGGGAACTGAAGTCTATCTATAAAATATAAAATGTTTATTTATCAAATCTATTGGTCACCCATCTTACCTCAGGGGAACTCTGAGCACCTTACAATCATACTATCTTTAATGTTGTTGAGGTTAAGAAACATCGACTTGAATGATAGTACAAAAAGAAATTTTAAATGGAATGTCAGAAAAATAATGCTAGCTTCAAAGAGCCATTCTACAGTGGAACACGAAGTCTTGGGAGTGTTAGGGTTTCTTT